AAGTATTTCTGTATTTCCTTCTAACTATTCATGCCTTCTTGATAGCACATTGACATACAAGATACAGGGGAAGGAGGCAGTGGAAAAGGCAATTCATTTTGTGTAACAGAAATGCTTCTAATAAATCTCCATTCCATCTTCATAGAAGTATGGAGGATGAAAGGAAGTAAGTGTGTCCCCAGATAAACTGAGATACTCAGTGGAAAACAAAACAAAACAAAAAAAAAACAAAACAAAACAAAAAACAACAACAAAAAAGAAAGCTACTAGTTTTGCAATTGGTGAAGGAACCAGAATTGATTAGCTAGATTAATGGACCAAATTAGTCACGAGACTATTTAGTTTTTTAGATACAAAAGCTGGACAACTGACTAGAAAGTCAGTGAAGCACTCATGTTATCATCCACACCATCAATAGAAGTAAAAGACAAGTAGCAAGTTTCTATCTTGATTCCTTCCCCCCAGCTCCTTTCATGACCTCTAAAGTTACCTAAACCCATACCCTTTCTTTACACTTGTCAGATCATTTTCTGAAACTTGTCTCATACTAGTGTGAAAACATCAAAAATGTCTTCTGCTTCCTATTTCCAACTTCTCAAGTGCTAATTTATCTGTTGCTTGCAGTATATTTTTCTATTTCTCTTTTCACACTTAAATTTTACCTAAAAGTATTTGCTATCAATATTTAATACTTACAAAAGCACTTCTTGTTCCTCCCATGCTTCAAAATGGAATCTTTTGTTAATAAAATACATTAGATATACATTTGACACAATTAATAGGACTTTATATCATTTTTTTTTTTTAAGTAAGGAATTGCTTCTTCCATTCTCCTCTAAAAAGCTGTAAAACATTAGGAAATCGTCATTACCAGAGTGTCATTACACTTCCACTCACGTTCCAAAAAATGGTATTTCTGGTGGTGACAAATAAAATAATTCAGAGCATCTGTCCTTGGACTTGGACATTCATGAAACAAAGATTTATTTTACTTTTGTTGACCTTAATTTCACCTCAGTCAATATAACCTTTTGGGTTAATAACTCCTGATGCTCACCTCTACAGAAGTCAGTATCACAAGAAGTAGGTGATAGCATCAGCTTCAGCTAAAGCTGAAAAATAGTTTCTATTATAGCTACCTGTTTTCAAACTCTCTTTCTTATTGTTGCCTCAAGAGCACTCTGAATAACGTGAAGCATTCTGAAATCTGTCCTATTCCAGTTACTACTCTATAATATGATTTGGTGTTTTTGTCTACTGATGGGAAATCATGGATAAAGTAGACATTATACTTGAAGGAGCTGTCTAAAGATTTTACATTTATTTATAATTCTGATAACAACTTCTGTCAATGAATAGCTTTATCCTTTCTCTTCAGCATTTGGTCTCAGTAAGAACTACATGCAATGAATATCTTCTTTGCTGACACTGGCATACTGTGAAAGTTTCTGTTTTTAAGTTTCTTAAGCAGGTGATTCCTTGAAAGCAATAGCACATAGCTGTTGTGCAATATTGAGTTCGTTATGGGTGGACTCTTGGCTCTCTACCCTGGACTTTAGGAGAACTGACTTTGATCTCTTCCGGGACCTACTTGGAGCTATCCCATGGGCTAGTGTGTTAGAAGGTAAGGGGGCCTGTGAGAGCTGGTCAGCATTTAAAAAGCTCTTCTTCCAAGCTCAGGATCAGTGTGTCCCTGTGAGCAAGAAATCAGGAAAGGGTGGCAGGAGACCTGTGTGGATGAGCAAGGAGTTCGTGCACAAACTCAAAGGGAAGAAGGCGGCTCATGAAATGTGGAAAAAGGGTCTGACAACTTGGGAAGAATATAGAAAAGTTGTCAGGGCCTGCAGGGATGTGATGAGGAAGGCTAAAGCCCGTCTGGAATTGAATCTGGCCAAGGTGATAAAGGATAATAAAAATGGCTTTTTTAAATATGTTAACAATAAAAGGAAGACTAGGGAAAATGTGACTCCCCTACTAAGTGAGGGGGGTGTTTTGATAATGGGGGATGCCAAGAAGGCAGATCCCAAATGCCTTCTTTGCTTCTGTCTTCAGTGAAAAATCTCTCCCTCAGGAATCCCAGACCCTGGAGGTTAGTGAGAGGGTCTGGGGAATGGAAGACTTCCTTTCAGTCAGTGAAGAGGCGGTCCAAAAATGCCTAGGCAACACCAATGTTCATAAATCTGTGGGACCGCATGCGTGCTGAGGGAGCTGGCAGAGGTGATTTCTGAACCGCTCTCTTGGAGTGTCTTGGAGAGGTCTTGGATAATGGGGGAGGTGCCTGAAGACTGGAGGATAGCCAGTGTCACTCCGGTCTTCAAAAAGGGCAAGAAGGAAGACCCAGGTAATTACAAGCCAGTCAGCCTCACCTCTGTCTCTGGAAAGGTGATGGAACAGCTGGTGCTGGATGCCATCTCCAGACAACTGGAAGAAAAGGAGGTTATCAGGAGTAGTCAGCATGGGTTCATCAGGGGGAGGTCATGCTTGACCAGCCTGGTAGCCTTCTATGATGGTGTAACTGGCTGGGTGGATGGGCAGAGAGCAGAGGATGTAGTCTACTTTGATTTCAGCAAGGCGTTTGATACTGTCTCCCACGATATCTTTATAACAAAGCTGAGGAAGTGTGGGATAGATGAGTGGACAGTGAGGTGGGTTGAGGATTGGCTGACTGGTCAAAAAGGCCAATGGCATTCTGGGGTGCATTAAAAAGAGCATGTCCAGCAGGTCAATGGAGGTGATCCTCTCCCTCTACTCTGCCCTGGTAAGGCCTCATCTGGAGTAATGTGTCCAGTTCTATGCTCCCCAGTACAAAAAAGATGGGGATCTCTTGTAATGAGTCCAGTGGAGTGCCACAAAGATGGTGAAGGGCCAGAAGCATCTTCCCTATGAAAAAAAGCTAAGTGAACTGGGTCTGTTTAGCCTTGAGAAAAGAAGACTGAGAGAGGACCTGATCCAGGTCTATAAATATCTAAGGTGTGGGGGGCAGAGTGGTGAGTTCAGACGCTTTTAGCAGTGTGTGGAAACAGCCAGAAACTGCAGCATAGGAAGTTCTGCAGAAATGTGTGCAAGAACTTCTTTATGGTGAGGGTGACAGAGCACTGGAACAGGCTGCCCAGGGAGGTTGTGGAGTCTCCTTCTCTGGAGATGTTCAAGACCTGCCTGGATACCTACTTGTGCGACCTGATGTAGGGAACCTGCTTTGGCAGGAGGGTTGGACTTGATGATCTCTTGAGGTCCCTTCCAACCCCTATGATTCTATGATTCTGTGATTATGTATCAAAAAATCGCAGGTCATTAAGTTACTAAAAAGTTTTCACATTTCCATGACTTGAAGAAAAATTGTTTGGCTTCTGTTTTCTTTCAGATATTTAGTTAAGAAACTTTTATTAATTTATTCCAGAAAGAAAATAAACATGACATAATGTATTAGAATACAGTAAAACCGTACTAAATACAAATATATATACGTGTGTGTGTGCGTTGGGTGGATATGTACTTGAGACTTTGCCTCTGTTTTCTCAAAAGACCCAACCAAAAGGCCAAACCAAAGTGAGGTCTAATTTATCTAACCTAGCTCTTCACAAAAACTTGGCTCTTTTTCACGGTAGTATCACCCTCTTTAAGAAAAACTCTCCAAGCGTTTTTCCATGCTCACCAGTTACTCGTATAGTATACTGGGGCTCTTCCCTATATTGTTTAGAATACACATCTGTCAGTACGTTGTCGTTTGTCTTAGTTTCAGCTGGGATTAAATTATTTCCTTCAGAATCATAGAATCATAGAATCACAAGAAACGACCTATACGATCATCTGGTCCAACCGTCTCCTCATCACCACTGCCACCACTAGCACTAAACCATTTCACGCAGCACGTCGTCCAGACGCCTCTTGAACACTGCCAGGGATGGTGACTCCACCACCTTCCTGGGCAGGCCATTCCAGTGCCTGACCACTCTCTGAGAGAAGAAGTTCTTCCTTATGTCTAATCTAAACCTCCTCTGATACAAATTGCGGCCATTTCCCCGTGTCCTGCTCATTGCCTGGGAGAAGAGGCCAAATCCCTCTTCATCACAACCTTCCTTCAGGAGGTTGTAGAATGCAATGAGGTCTCTCCTGAGCCTCCTCTTCTCCAGACTAAACAATCCCAGCTCCCTCAGCCGCTCCTCATAAGACTTGTGCTCCAAACCCCTCACCTGTTTTGTTGCCCTTCTCTGGACATGCTCCAGAACCTCAACATCTTTCCTGTAGTGAGGGGCCCAAAACTGAACAAAGTACTCGAGGTGCGGCCTCACCAGTGCTGAGTACAGGGGGATGATCACCTCCCTGCTCCTGCTGGCCACACTATTTCTAATGCAGGCCAGGATGCCATTGGCCCTCTTGGCCACCTGGGCACACTGTTGGCTCATGTTCAGCCGAGCATCAACCAACACCCCCAGGTCCTTTTCTTCACAGTCATCCAGCCATTCATCCCCAAGCCTATAACACTGCGTGGGGTTGTTGTGGCCAAAGTGCAGAACCTGACACTTGGCCTTGTTGAACCTCATCCCATTCACCTCAGCCTAGCGATCCAGCCTGTCTAAATCCCTCTGAAGGGCCTCCCTACTCTCAGGCAGATTGACACCACCTCCCAGCTTGGTGTCAGCTGCAAACTTACTGAGGGTGCACTCAATCCCTTCATCTAGGTCATTAGTGAAGATATTAAACAAGACTGGCCCCAGTACCAACCCCTGGGTAACACCACTTGAAACGGGTTGCCAGCTGGATTTAACTCCATTCACCACTACCCGCTGGGCATGGCCCTATAGCCAGTTTCTTACCCAAAGGAGTGTATACCTGTCCACGCAACGGGCAGCCAGTTTCCCTGGAAGAAGCCTGTGAGAGACCATGTCAAAGGCTTTGCTGAAGTCTAAGTAGACTACATCAACAGCTCTTCCCTCATCTACCAAACTGGTCACCCAGTCATAGAAGGAGATGAGGTTGATCAAGCACAACCTGCCTTTCACAAACCCGTGCTGGCTGGGCCTGATCCACTAGACACAGCGCACATGCTGTGCAATCTCATCCAAGATGATTTGCTCCATAACCTTCCCTGGTACCGAGGTCAGGCTAACAGGCCTATAGTTCCCTGGATTCTCCTTATGGCCCTTCTTGAAGATGGGAGTCACATCAGCAAGCCTCCAGTCCTCTGGGACCTCTTCAGTTAACCAGGAGCGCTGATAGATGGCTGAGAGGGGCTCGGCAATCACCCCGCCAGCTCCCTCAGCACCCAAGGGTGCAGCCCATCCGGTCCCATCGACTTGTGACAGTCCAGATGGAGGAGAGGCTCTCTGACTGTCTCCATCAGAATCGCTGGGGGCATTCTGAGCAGCGTCCCAGACTTCCAAATTGGGTCATAAAAAGCCCAGAGGATAACTGGTCTGGCTATTAAGGACAGATGTAAAGAAGGCATTGAGGACCTCAACCCCCTCCTTGTTCTCGGTGACCATATTCTCTGCTGCATCAAGTATAGGATGATAATTATCTTTGGTTCTGATGTCTGATATGATACTATGTTCTGGTTCCGAGAGAAAAAAAAATGTTGATAATGCTCCAATGTTTATATTTGCTAAGCAGAGTTGTACAAAGCCAAGCCCATTCTCACCTGAAGGCCCAAACAGCTGGGGGGGAAGAGAATTAGGATACCAGACTTAAAATGGCCAAAGGAATACTCCATGGTGGCAGCCCTTCCCCATCTAGTGGCCCAGTCTGGCATTGGGTAAATACCAGTCACTCAGCAAAAGCCAAAACACTGGAGTTCTACAATAGTCTTGGCTGAAACCAGAACACATTACTTCAAAAGAAGCAAGTCCTCCAATGGTAGAAAATTCTAGGACATGAATAGACATGAAAAGACGTCTCTTCTACAGAACTTTCTATTTCCCTGTGTTGCTTTCTCTGAAGTAGAATACCAAGTTACTATTTCACAAGAAAAGGGAGGAAATACATTTGAATGCCCCAGATTAATATTGGGATTATTATAACTATCATATAAATTCAGGGGTAAGAAGAATGAAATTTCAGGAATGTATTTTTTTTCCCCAGTATGTGCAGGATGGACCATCACAGTCAGTTACTTCTTTGAAGTTAAAGAAAAAAAAACCATTTTTTCCCACTTTAAAGTACTCATTTAATACTTTGCTTTCATTTTATGCAATTTTTTTTAGCAACAGAGATCTGCAGTAGCTCTCAAGTTGGCAATTAAACTTCAAGCAGGAAATCGTACTTATTATTCTTGTAAGAGAAATTGAAGAATTCTAAAGGAAAAGGAATTACATGCAAGAGAGAGCCAATTTGTAATTTAATGTGCAATGTAAATGGCACTTCTCATCCTTGAAGTCTGCCCCTCCCCTTATCAACTACAGTTAATAATATTAAACATAAATGGACAACTGTTCTTCTGTTAAGAAAGGAAGAAATGTATTGCTGGAGCTATTCAAAACTGCAGAAAAAAATCTACACTGTTATTGACTTCAACACAACTTTGCATTTAAGTCCCAAACTTATGGGGAAAAAGGAAATTTTCTAACGGCAAAAACATACCCTACAGACACAGCATGCATCCATGGCAATGATAATTCTGATTTCAATTAGAACTTACTTGCTCTCTTGTGCCTCATTTTTACAAGGAAAATAAAATTGAGAAAGGCATTGCTGTGATTAGCTCCTAGAGCCACCTTTTCTGAGTAGTCTGAAGTGACAGCCACAGGGGTAAAAATGATTGTACTAAAATGTCTACTAATGAGGCCCCTGTAGTACTGCTCCAAGAAGGACCATTATATGCTACATTTGTCAATTTCATCTCTTTGACTTTCTTTTTATCATCTGGAAATACACTGATTAAAAGAGTTGTGTTTTTTTTAAAGCATTATTCTTGTTTAACCTTCATAATAATGCTCATTGCCTTCCTGTGCAGCTAAAATGTTCCAAATTAAAGCTCCACACTTCCTACTGACTTTTGCTTAGTTTCTTTAGATACACAGTTTATGATAACAGTGCACAAACTTCTGCTGCATGTAGAAAGGAAAGCATGAAAAATACCTGCAAATTTCCTTGTTAATGCAAAGCAACGAGTGAAATGAAAAATAATAAAACTTATTCTGTTTGTGTTGAAGGCAACATGAGTCCTATTACCTCTGCAATGATCAAATAAACAAGGGGAGGAAATAAAAATGAAAATAAATTTAAAATAAAATATATTTAAAACATAATTAAGATAGAAAATAAATATCAGAAAGGGGAAAAAACAGAAGGAGTCATAAGGAGAGGCGGTAGCTGTTTAGATGACTAAAGAGGAAAAAGAAAAGTTGATTTCTTAATATGAGAGATGACAGAAATTAAGTGCTTAATTGTATACTTTCTACAAGAAAAACAGGTATAAAAAATTAAAATTATTGCACGTGCGGTTCTTAAGAAGCATGATTAACTTGTGTACAAATTACATATCAGTTACATTCTAGGGAAAAGGTAAGGTTCTCCAGGCACAGGCAAAATCTCAGAATCACAGAATTGCAGGAGTTGGAAAAGATCTCAAGAGATCATCAAGTCCAACCTGCTATACAGGTTCCCTACAATAGGTCGCAAAGGCAGCTTTTCTTTCTGTCTCTAAAACTGTAACATTAAGGAGCAACTGCTTCTATTGTGTTGAAATCTAATGGCGAAGAGAAGTCCAGAATTGACTAGAAGGTCAAATATGTAACACAGGCTCAAATTTCAAAAGAAGAAGTACTGACACACAGTACTGAAGCTTGTTTTGTGCTTGTCTCCTAACAATAAAAGACCACAATCTTTTAATAATTATAGACTACTTTAATAGACCTTTAAGCAAGTGTAATGTGACTTTTAGAAATATCATTAAGTCTCTAAGAAGTGGATTTTAAAACTAAAAAAAGGGGAGGGGGGAGAGATGAGGAAAATAAGTGCATATATATTTTTTTTATTCACCTTTTTTTTTTTAAACATTGGCAGCTCAAGCATGTGTTTATTATTAATTGTAATATTTAAGAATTCTCTCCAAGCTAATCCAATCTTTGCATAAATATTTTTGATGGATTACATGGAGCTAACTGAAATAAGGACACATCAGTCTTGATTAATTCTGCTGTTTTGTCAGCTTTTGAAGGATGCGTGCTTTTTAGAGACATGCAGCTTGGAATGAGAAGTATGGAGTCTTGATAAAAGAGAGTGAGAATGAATGCTCGCTTTTATCTTTTACTGGGGAAATTATAGTGTTTCTTTTCTGTCTTTGATACATTAAAAATTTTGTATTGTCTTTAACCAGTAATGCCAATTAGAGTTTAAGTGTCTTGTTTTTTCCCTTTGGTTTGCTCACTCATTCTCCAGACAACAGTGTCTTTTCCTGATGAAATTACTTCATACACGTGATCAGATAGCGTTTTACAGACTTCATGCAATGACTAGACTTCCTCATCAAGGAATACTTTATACTTTAACTATATCCTTTCAATGGAAATACAATTCCATTATAAAAGAATCAGTCTGTTTTTACCGAACTATAATTATTGTATTTTCCAAGATTCTAACAGTAAATTAATTCAAGCATATATGTTACTCATCATATATGTATGTTACTGATGGTGGGAATGAGTATCAAAAAGCCTCTAGTACTCATAGTACTGAATTTAAAATTATGTAGTGAGTTTAGATTTTTATGTCTGTTAAATATTTTGGACTCTATAGAGATAGTAGGTTATTCTTCTCTTTATTAGGTGAAGTCTGCAACAGTTCCTTTCATCTGCCAGTTTCCAATTATTAAAATTGTAGAGTTTTTTTGATCCATAATATTAAGTCGCTACTTATGAAAGTTTAGTGAAAGTCCCATTCGTTCCGGATGAAATAAAGATCTAAATCCTTAAATCAGCTTCTGTCTTTTGTGGATGTGAAAATATAAAAGCAGTCACTGGAGATATATGGTAATCCCTTTCGCATATTATCTGTTTAGTTAAGTCATTACTTCTTTTTTATCATGCTTCATCCAAACTCTTTCAGAATTTTGCCTGGCTCTTTGCCAAGTGCGGCACAGACAAGACATTTGGTCCCTTTGGTCTTAATCAGAAAAAGCAGTCCTTTCATACAGCCCCCATCTTTATCTAGCTTGCTGAAAAGCCAAGAGTTAGCAACTGTAAATCACAGAACTATCTGCTTTGGAAATAAATCAGAAATAAAGCCAGTGTGGGTCTGTAATCCTTTTTAATCAATTGAAATGCCTTTTAATGAACATATACTACAAGAGCTCAACTGTTCCTGTTCTGTTGTTAAACAAGAATAACACCAATATTTTGATTTGCTGTATAAACTGTAGCAGTGCATACTAACCAATGTAGTCCAGTCTTACCTGTAATATAAAATATCTGTAAAGCAGCAAGTATTGCTACTTTATATGTTATCACAGCACGCAATCCCAGGACTACATACTAATGTCAATTTGATTCACAGTACTGTACCCCCCAAAGACAGATTAAGAAGTATTAATTACTTTCCTGTAGAGCTTTTTCATCCCTTTATAAAACCGATAACTCCTGACCGTTAACTATTCTTCCATCTCTTACACTACATTCTCATTTCCCTAGATGTTCTCTAACTTTCCTAACTTTTCACACTAATGTCAGAGTCTGACTTGTATAGTTAATTAGTAATAGTTTATTTATTTAAATATTAAACTGGTTGTTAGTCTATTAGGCCGTAGACAAAAATAAAAATAAAAATAAAAAAAAATAAAAAAAGTCTAACAGTAATGTTAATTATCACAGGGAATGTGATTAAATACACTATAGTTTACTTTAAATAACTTGTTGAATATCTCCATTTGTGACCAATGATCCAAAAAGCCTCTTTTCACTAAAACATTTCCCCCTTTTTCATTATTTAGTTCACAGTGTAACTATGCCAGTTCTTCAAATTTATGTAAATCACATTCAAGTATTTATGAGTTACTATGTTTATACTGATAAGCTGTTGCGAAAATT